TGAGGGTGGGATTGTACGATTGTGTTTGTGTATGCGTGGGTATGTGTCAGGCTGGGACGTGGACTTCCCCCTTCGCTGGTTTGTTTGTCGCCCCCATCCCATACCGCCCTCTGGTGGGGGTGCCTTGCCCGCCAGTGCGCGGATGGCTCTTGGGGTCTGGGGCTGGGTGTTCGGGTGTGCGCTGGCTCRGCCTGGTGGCCAGCAGATGGAAACGTCTGATTTGCATTTTCCCCTTTTTTGACATTGTAAAAATTAGCTCAAAATTTGCATTAAAATTGGATGGAAACACGTTTACTGACATGTTTGTATGAAGAAAAATGTGTCTTTTTATTCTTGCACCACGCCCAAGAATGAGTTGTGTGCATAACCCACTAGCCGTGTTTCCATCCAATTCTAATTCGAATTTTGAGCGAATTTTTAAAATTACGCAAAAAGGAAAGAATGAATAAATGTGAATGAGACTTGTTTCCATCAACTGGCTTGAAGCGAATCAGTTACGTCAGACGCATGCGTGYAGTAAACAGGAAGTAAAAGTCACATCTCAGGAAAATGGAGAGAAGTTATCAGGAACGTGTTGCTACTATCGGGAAAGTTGTCCTTATTCTGTCATCAACTAGTTTTGGCGATTTTACATGCGGTCGGGAGACGTAGAGAAAGAAATGTAATTCTCTTCACGTTACGGGGATAACTGAGAAGACGCCGACTGTAGGAGGAGGGTCCAGCTGCAGTCACAGCTGCAGTCGCTCTGGTACCGGTTCAGTGAGAACAGCTGATCAACATGTAAGGTAAATGTTCGCTACGTCAGAACTGATTCAACAAATGTGTTTTCATCTGTCCTTTTGCAGATTAACTTTTTTTTCGAAAAAACAAAAAACCACCTCAAGCGGGCATATCAACTTTTATGCGAATTACAGGATGTTTTGTCGAATCAAGCCGTTTTCATTCACCTTTTCTGATGCAATACTTCAAAATGCACATTAAAAACCTTGATGGAAACATGGTTACTGTCAGGGCTTTTCTCACAAGGTATGCACCATATATTGTTTGATTAGTCCGAATTTTGGCGGCATGTTTACGCAGAAAAGCGACTGAGGTACACTGATCTCATTTAATTCCTACGCTGAGCGGCAACTGGCCAAGGCTGTCTGAAAATGCGTCTAATTTATAACTATTCTAGCAAAACTTACAAATTTGAAGGACTTGTTGAAGGAAAAAGCACAATCTCTGTGCACATGGAGACAGCTAGGAGACACAGGCAGCTCTCCATGACTGTGCTAACCAGGTGTGATTATGCCTCGGCTGGGCAGAGGGAGGACACGTTCCCGCACAGCCTGCTGGAAAACAWTGAAGGCTCTTTCTTTGCAGCTTCTCCTCCTACATTCTTTTCCTAATTCTCTATAATTAACTGAAAATAAACATTCATTCCACCAACCATGCTGTCGCTGTGTTGTTTCTGTTTGCCTGTGATGTTTGCTGCAGTGGGAGGACTGTGAATGTGAAAAAAGAATGGGCCTCATGCAAGAACCGTTCGTACGCACAGATTTGTTCTTAAATTGTGCGTACGAGCGATTTAGGAGAATTTGTGGCATTCACCAAAGTTTTCGTATTCTACGATTTTTTTCAGATACGAACAAAATTTACGAGTGGTCCGGACCTGTCGTATATTTTACGAGCAGTCAGTCTGCTGTTATCCAGACGGGTTTTCTTCATTAATAACTTTATATTTCGTTAGTTTGAAGATATTTTGAGTTGAAAATAAATCACACTCCATAATTATGTTGACAATAGGCTATTCTGCTTGAATTAGAGTTATAATTTTAAATGTAATAATTTGGACTAACAATATAAATTGTCCGTCCGTCTGTTTTCTGCCGTTTATCCGGGATCAGGTCTCGGTGGCAGCAGCAGAGAGACCCCGCTCTCACCAGAGACACCTTCCAGCTCGTCCTGGGGGACTCAAGACGTTCCCAGACCAGAGGGGATATGATCAAGTCCAGGATTTTCTCCAAAGTGCCAGACTTATTTTGAAAACATTTTAAAATGCTTATTTCAGAACCACAACTGAGACCACCWGCGCCGCGCAGCGCGCTGGGTGGGGTACGGTGCGCAGCGCTGCGGCTTCTGAATACATGAAAATGATTTAACACAGTTATTTATACTTTCAGCAGCTCTTTTTATCCCACAGCTGAGCTGCTAAAAATGACAGATTTTATTTTCTGGATCTCTGACAGACGGACTTCAATCTCTGAACTCGTAAAGTTTTTATTTTTTCAGTTTTCGCTGTCATTTTTCATGAATGAACACTTGTATCTGAGGTAGGAAACACAGCCTTATATGGTGTTTTTGGGGTGGTAATTATGCTGATATCTCGCGTGCACGAGCAGCTGGATAGAACAGGTGTAATTTACGCAGCTCATTTACACTCTTTTCCTGAAGATAGAAGAGTTTGTTGAATCTGACGTGACATGTTCGTACGAACCCTTTGTACGAACAAAAGTAAGAGAAATTTAGGATAAGAATACGAACATGTTCTTGCATGAGGCCCAATGTCTTACAGCTATACCAGCAGGAAGAGAGTTCATTATTTTTCACTGGGTATAAATCCGTCATTAGACTTAAAAGTGTTGCAACTCAGATTTGTTAATGGCAAATAGATGAATCAAATGCCAGTCCCACCATCTCCACATTTATGGAGCTAGAAATGAAAGAAAAATTGAACACTGTACCTAGAGTAAAACATGAAAGAAGCTAGATTATGTTCTCGAGCTGCTTTTCTGCATCTGGCATGGAGACTACCTTGAGACTATCAAGGCATTCTGAAGTGAAATGTACAGACAAGTGTCAGAAAGCTTGCTCTCAGTTACAGGTCACAGGTTCTTCAACAGGATAGTGACTCAAAACGCACGGCTAAAAACACTCAAAAATGGCTACTGACAGAAGATTGGACTCTTCTCAAGTGACCTTCTGACCCCTGATCTAAATCCTGTTGAACATCTGCAGAAGAGGCTGAAGYCTGGAGAAAGAACCCTTCAAACCTGAAACAGCTGGAGCAGTTTGCTCACAAGGAATGGATCAAAAGCCTTGTGGACCAGTGCAGATGTCTCAGAAAGAGTAACAGAAATTAAGGATGTCCTGATACAACTATATACAACTATTTCACTTGCGATACAATACAAATATTGCTGCCCTGAGTATTGGCCGATACCAATATCAACCCRATACGAGATCAGAACAAATCCTACAAACTTTTATTACTTTTTTGTATTGTGGAATCTTAAAGTCTTGATCAGGTCAAACAGTAAACAACAGTCCAACAGTAGGTATGAGAAAGACTGGTCCCATTTATTATTAACCAATGGGTTACATCATTTTTAACTTTAACATAAGAATATTGCACAATTAAATACAATAAATAAATAATAAATTAGAAAACCCAGAAAAAATTACCCCAATAAAGCGAATAAAAACAAAATAAATAACTATTCAGGGTCACTTAAGTTATTTATGCCAGATCCGAGCGCTGCTGGATAGAAATGTATGGACGGACTGCATGTGTTGGAGGGCTAATATCAGAGATTTTAGAAGCAGGCTGATATAATCGATATTAATTTTTTTGGGCTGATATCAGAAAAATATCCAATACTGATATCGGATTAGGACACTCTTAACAGAAATCACGATTACAGTGATTGCTGCAAAAGATTTTGTAACAAAATATTAAGAGTACTTTTATATGTACAGTATATTAAGGTAAATTTCATTAGTATTCTTTTTTTTTTTTACATTTAAATAACTCTGTTGAACTAGAATTAAAAAGTAATGACTGATTTTTATTGGCTGAATTGTTCTTTTTTCATCAGTTTCATGTAATTTCAGTGACCTCTGCTTGTTTTTCTTTCTTTATCAACACATTTGTCTGTGTCTGTATGTTTTGTTTTGCAACAAAAGTTTCACATGAACTACTGGTGGTGACAGACTGCAGTGCACTCAGTGTAAGTAACCCCACAGTTGCAATATTAAACTGAAGTAAAAACAGAACAATCATTTTGAGGTAAAAAATTTTGGACCAGAACTCACACAACTTCTGAATGACACACRCTGAGACCTGGCGTTTTACAAATTTCTACTTTTCTGCTTTGAACAGACATACATATTGTCTTTGGGAAACTTCTTGCTTAATCCATTCCACAGATGTAGAAACTCGAATTTCTCAGGCAGATTTATTTCACGGGGTGAAAAAGCTTGATTTACAACGTAAAAACTCTGAAACCACTCATGAACCATGATTTACAAGCTCAAAATCTTTACGACTCTAACCTGAGCCCATAAAAAAAGATGCCATCACCTCTCAACCCTGCTGCTGATATCTTATACTCCAGCATTTAGAAACATTTTAGAGCAGAACTCAGGACTTCTGCTGGAAAAATCTTGAAAAAGAGAAATGCTGTAGGGGTTCACACTAAATCTCTGTAGACTTTTTATCGTGTCTGCATCTGGGCACCGAGCCTACAACATCAGGCGTGCATTTTTTAACTGGGCTTTTTTCCAGATGGGCACACCACTCAGCTGAACCCCGGCCAAGAGTAAAACAGAGCTCATTACTGAAAAAATGTGCTTGCAGGCTCACATTTAAAATGTGTAAGTAATTTTTAAATATAAACTACGAGGAAGAGAGAGACTGGACCTTTAGCATCTGAAAGGAAAGTGCAGATTTTATGTTTGGCTTGCAGAGCTGATGGAGGGTTTCACTTATGAAGGATCTGAAGTCTTCCAAGTCTCAGAGTAAACCTGCACAGGGAGGTTTCCTAAGACTCAATCATACCAGTTTAGCCACACAAGATAATAGTGGTCTCTTGGTCCTGCTCACAAAAATGACTCACCTAATCCTCTTCTCTATAGCACTAATGCTTTATGGGGGCTGAATGACACTTCCTCTTATCTCTGAAGGCAATTTTCTTAAGATGGTTTTTAAGATGTACAGTTTGTGTTAGTGGACTTACTTGACTCTCTGGATCCAGATGCAATAGTCGCTGATGTACAGATCATTCAGTATGTAGGCTGGGTCATTATCTCGGAAGATTTTGTGGATGTCCAGCAGGCATTTGAGGACACAGGTTTTCCCTAGACGCAGGTACACAGACAAATGGAAAAATCGTGTTATTTGAGCTCAGTAAAAAAGGATGACAACACAGCAGCTTGTGGCAGACACTGCATTTATCTTAAAGCCTGAAGTCATTGTTTCATAAATAAAAGCCAAGGTAAGAGATGAGAGGGAAATCCCAGCACACTGCGGAGTAATTTGATCCATATGTTACAAGAAGTACTCCTGGTTCATCTGAGAGACAAAGGAGCTGAGTGGAAGAGTCGTTTCTGACATCCAGGTTACTGAGTTGAAAGGTGGTTTTCTTTAGATCCTAGAAAGCGTGTTTGCTTAATGTTCTTTTGTGATCTACCTGACCCCAGTTTTAGTCAATCCATCATTCTCAGCCCACTTTGGCTGATAAATTCTATAAAGGTCTTAGTAAGTAAGTAAGTAAGTAAG